GCTGGTGTCGGAATGGAGCCAGTTACCACTAGCCCATAATACCAAAACTGGAAGAATATCCCTGGTTCCAAATGTTCTAATGGGTACAGTTGAATGTTTTAGTATTAGTTTATAAAGCTTGAAACAACTTGGGGTCTGGTTTCTCGAAAGACTGCCTTTTCTCCGAATAGGTGTCTCTGATCCTTAAGGCCATCTGGAGGCGCTGGAGACGCCTCCGGTTGGCTTTGCTCTCGTCCGGTGAAGGGCTTCCCATCCGAAGCTAAGGTGAACACACTGTTACCCCGAGCTGGCACTTTTCTGTCTCCCAAAGAAGTGACTCTTTCCTTGGAAAATGATAATAATGATGATAGGAAGACACCGATGTGTTTGGCTGAGAAGTGGGTTTATCTCCTCCTCCTCTCTTTCCTGTCATTCAGTTTTTAGAAACAAAACCAGCAGAATCGGCACTATCAAGATCCGGCAGGTTTTGGATTTCCAGTGCAACCACTCCTGAGGGTGGTGTGAATTTCAAGAACTGTTGACTAGCTCAAGAGTTGAGGGCTCTGGTTGTGGAGCCAGAGTTCGATCCCCCCCCCCACTGCGACTCCCTGACTGGATGATTCGTAGGGTTCCCCTTCTAGCTCTGCAGTTCTAAAACAATGATGAGGATGAAATCCCTTTTTTAATATGTGTGTGTATGTGTGCCTCTTGGTTTTTAGCTTCAGTTACCTAACCCAAGGAAGGGAGCTTCCAGAATCCCCTATCTATCTATCTATCTATCTATCTATCTATCTATCTATCTATCTATCTATCTATCTATCTATCTATCTATCTATCTATCTATCTATCTATCTATCTATCTATCTATCTATCTATCTATCTGGATTTTTAATAGCATCTTTCTTTCCCAAACTGTGCAAACTCCACTTCCGAAGGACCCGTTCGTAAGATCATCTCATGGACAGCTTTGGGTGGACCACTCCCCGAAAGGAGAAAGAGAGGCAGGAGATGCACATTTGAAGTCTTCCCCATCACTGAAGCCTTGCATGTGGAAAGCTAGCATATCTAGGAGAATGTGGGATGGAGGACCAAAGACCTCAAAAAAGAGACATCTTGTTCTCTCCGAACCAGTAGGATTCTGGCCATACTGGTAGAGGAACGCCAGGCGCCATGCTCAGCTCTAGAAGTGCTTCTTTTATCAGCCCCCGAGGAATGGCTACCAAGTTTGGGTTTTTTCCCCCCTCCCTCTGGGGTGATTAAATATTTACAATTCTGGCACGCCTCTGATCGCCGGGCAGAGCCCTCTGACTCTTATCATCTCTTCCTCTCTGTCTCTCTTTCTGCTTTTCTGAGGTCAGCATTTTCTTTGGCTCTGGTTCAGAAGAGGGAAAAAAGCGTATAAAAATCTGTGTGGTTTGTTGTAAGATTTTTTGGGGGTACAAGTCGGAAATGGCACTGCTACTTTTTGTGTGCATACCGCAACTCCATGTAACCGTGGGCCAGCTTGGGGATTCTGGGAGTTGTAGTCCAAGGAAGTAACATTTCCAGAATCGGGAATTTAGCCCCCGAGAGAGATGGAAAATGAAATCCTGTTGTCCATGACTAGCTAAACGAAAGTGAACTAAGACTAGAGGGGTGCAGAATTGTGGTTTCAGACTACAACTCCCAGCATAGCTGCCCAGGGCATTTTGGGAGTTGTAGTCCAAAAACACTCCTTTGCACCCCTCTAAGGTAAAGGCAAAGGTTCCCCTTGACCTTTAGTCAAGTTGTGTCCAGCTCTAGGGCGCAGTGCTCATCCCCGTCTCCAAGCCGTAGAGCCAGTGTTTGTCCGAAGACCATTTCCGTGGTCACGTGGCCAGCGCGACTAGACATGGAACGCCGTTACTTTCCCACCGAGGTGGTACCTATTTATCTACTTGCATTTTTACATGCTTTTGAATGGCTAGGTTGGCAGGAGCAGGGATGAGAGACGGGAGCTCCCTCCGTTGCGTGGATTCGATCTTACGACGGCTGGTCTTCCAACCTCGCAGCCCAGAGGCTTCTGCGGTTTAACCCATAGCACCACCCATGTCCTCTCTAGTTAAAGCCAAAAGCTGTGGCTGGCATAGTATCTCAGAAAGCATACTATCATGGAATCCAGCAACTTCCAGTTTATGTCGGAGTCAAACTATAATTTACAAGTAACATATCCTTAAACGACAACATTCTTGAAGTGCCAAAGGAGGCTTGCGACGCACTTTTTTTGACGCCATGCGTAGTCTGCAGATTTACCCTGCTTTGTTTTGTGATTGGCTATCAAGGATAAACACATGCCTCCTTTGCAAGTATCATTACTCACACAGAGAGATCTGCAAAGATTGTATCACTAATGTGTGTTTTTTTTAAAAGTCAAAATTGGTGCTCTCTGTAATGCATGATTAGACTGAACACTTTCTGCCAAAGAAAGATGTGAAGCTTATTAGAAACGTGGGGGAGACAGTAGAGCAGTCTTCAAATAGTTGATAGTCATTCAGAGATGGGGCAGGATCTGTTCTCAACCCTCCCAGAGTGCAGGACACGTCATCATGGCTCAAGCTACAGCAAGCCAGACTTAGGCTGAATATCAGGAAAAACTTCCTAATTGTTAAAGCAGTATGACAATGGAAGCAACGACCTCAGGTGGTCCATCAGATGAAAACTGGACCACCCATCTGTCAGATCTGTTTTGATTTGGATTCCTGCCTGGACCAAGGGGCTCGGACTCGATGGCCGTAGAGGACCCTTCCAACTCTGTGATTCTATTTATTTATTTATTGTCATTGTAAGTATATACACAGTACACCCATACAATGAAATTCACAGACACCCAGAGACCAGACACATGCACACACGTAAAGTTCCCCA